GTCACCATAGGGATTTCACTAAGGCTGTGTGTAATGGATRATGGGGAAGTAGATGGGATGAGACTAGACCATCCCACATGGCTGTGTGCTTGCATAGGTAGAAGAGSAATTCCTTATCAGGAGAAGTTTCCACAGGGTCTAACTTGGACCTTCAAATTGATATCTTCTGGCTGTTGCTTTATMTTAGGTTGTGAGAGGTTTACTGGGTCGTTTTGGGACTCTTAGATCAGTGCCTGGGGATGTGCACCAAAACAACATTTTTCTGGTGATGCTGGGAGCAAGATCAAGGATAAAGGAGGAACTTCTTTGTTCCCATGGGTACTGTGGTGGCTGAACTGGTGCCCTCACGTTGCAAGGGCTGGGCAGGTGCTCTCTGTCTTGGGTTAGAAGTGTCCCCTGCCTTGGCCTCATGGCAAACTTACTCCCAATTTGTGGAAATGGTTGGAAAAGAGCCAGGGCTAAAGAAGGGGTGAGCTGGGCTGCAGCGTGTGCATAGTTTCCTTATCTGCTTTATACTCTTTTATAGCCAACAGTTTTTCATTCTTACTGATTAACTGCTGCTGCTTCTCTTCAAGCGCATTCCGTGCTGCTGTCCTTGGGGCTCAGCCTGGCCTCAGCATCTCTCCCTTTTTTAATTCAGTTTCTACAATTAATCTATCTTTCCCAGAGTCTTTCCAACTTTGCTTATGCACATCCTGGACTCTCTGTTCCTGAGGCATTCCGCCTCCCATGGTTCCCAAGCTGCTCACCTATCTTAGGTGACTAGTACACACTCACTTTTCTGCTTACTAGAGTAAGGATTAGAATCCTGATTCAGCTGGGCCACACTACTGAGTCCGGGCTTCGTGAGCCTCCCAATCTCTTCATGTTCCTGTTTGTGTGCCATTGCATATGCAWATGCATAATTTCCATATCTGATTTATATTCTTTTATATCCAGCAGTTTCTCATTCTCACTGACTAATTCCTGCGCCTCTCTTCAAGTGCACTCCGTGCTGCTGTCCTTGGGGCTGACCTCCACACTGGGCTAGTCCGTTGTGCCCTAGGGAGAGAAGGATGCTGAGGCAAAAAGTTATGACCCTGATGAGTTCACCTGTGAACAAAGCCCTTCTCTTTCCTTCCATTTGGGAACATTTGTAGCACGCCAAGCATGCAGGATAAGTCTAGCAGACATGTAAGTATTTGGATAGTGGGGAAGGCACATGTTCCAAGTGAGTTGCCCAATACTTGACCAAGCATGGCTGTTTTGCTGGGGAAGGACAAGCACTTCTAAAGGACAAAGGCTCATATCGCTGGCCCTGCCAGCGTGAACCTACCCAGCAAGAGCGAAACTGGACTATCTTGCAAAAACACTTTGAGCAAACACACCACTCAGTGGAAACAATCTGATAAGAGCCGCTGCATTTCTGGTGGCTCAGTCAAGAGGACTCCAGTGTTCCCATTAGGTCTACGGCTTCATCAGGGCTGTCATCTCCTCTCTTTGAGGGAAACACTATGTCCACAACAGTCTGCCAGGTGATGGGGTTCATCGTGTCGTCGCTGGGCATTGCGGGGTGCATCATATCCACGGCCATGGATATGTGGAGCACACAGGACTTGTATGACAACCCTGTCACAGCCGTTTTCCAATACCAGGGATTGTGGAGGAGCTGCGTGAGGCAGAGCTCTGGCTTTACAGAATGCCGGCCTTATTTCACCATTCTTGGGCTGCCAGGTAGGGGCAAAAGACGCATCGGGTCTGACCTGGGAGCTCTCCCATAATTCTGTACAGCTTTCATCAAAAAGCTGGTATCTTAAAGCAAGGAATAAAATTTCCAGGTTACTCGGTGAATGAGCAAAAAAAATATGTATGTATTTTTTACCAGAATAATACCTTTGTGTGGTAGAGATTACGACTTGGAGCACGTCAACGTGATCTCTGGATGAGTGTCACGGGTTCAGCTCCATTGCTAGCATAAATCAGTACAGCTCCATTGATGTTGGGTGGCTGAGAGGGTTTAAACCAGCCTCTAAATTCGGTCCCTTTGAGCTGGAACACATGTAACTGTTATGTTGTTATTAGAATAATGCCTTCTACAGAAACCAACGACATCATTATATTCCCCAAAGAGAAAAGCATCTACTTAATTTTTGCACTGGAGAAAGCATCTTTTGAGCAGGGTGTGCCACAAGGACCATAAGGGTGAGGAATTTTCCTTCAATTTGTATTACCTGGGGAGCTTTTGTGGATGCAGGAGTAAGCTGCAGGAGGGTTTTATTTGCCGGTTTGCTTACCATTTGCTGCAGCACTGAGTAAAGCAGCACCTAAACTGTAAAAATGAGCTGTTTTTCTCACTCCACTGCATGTGAATACTACCGGGGGTCCTAGGGCACTCTTGAACTTGCAAGACCCCAGGGGCAAGGGCAATGAGAGCCCTTGCCAATGAGTAAGAAACATGCATTCTTCAGCAGGATTCATTTTTCATTCATTGACTTCATTTCACTCATTTTTCATTTTGGAGTGTTTTCTGTTCTCTGTGCATAGGTGCAATGAAGTAGAAGCAACCACTAAGGCACAAAGGCCTCTAGCATCTATTGAAATATATCAATATTATATATGCATATATATACACATGTTGATTAATATATACATATACATTTGCATCCTCATAATGCTGTGTGTAGGTGAGTTTGTTTTAAACTATCAATGAAGCAATGGCAACCATCATTCTGATGATAATTTGTCACTACAAAGAATCTACATTTTACATCATCTTTAAGTAATATATACAGAAAGGCACAAGACATTCTCAGATGTTTTCCATTGTGTTGTAGAAAGTTCTACCCYCTTTATTTTACTTACGTATCCATTTAGTTGCTGAGTACCTTGAAAGACAAAGAGGGAATGTCCTAGCTTAAATTTGGTCAAGTTAAAACATGATTGTGTTTTTTCCTAAATTTTCTAACTGCCATTAGTCATAACTTGACATAAAGTTAAATTTCCACCTTTGAATTCAGTATTAATAGCAGAAACATGGCTGATGTCAGTTTAGATTAATTTATATTGCTTTATTCTCCTCACCTTTCACTACTAATAGCAACACAGACAGAAACAATAGCTCTGCATTTTCCCTCAGGCCTCAAAAACATAGTGAAACAAACTACAGTTTCAGGTAGCTGAAGTTTGTTTTGATGAACATGATTGCACATGATGTCCCATGATATGGAAATCAGGTGTGCAAATTGAGCAGCCGTGTGAGTGCAGATAGCAAGCGTAGACACACTTCATATCTCATGTAAAATACACATGCAAATTTGTGCCRTCAGATTCCGAGTTTCCGTGCTTGACTTTAATGATAGGGCTGCATACTCCTTGGTGCTCCTAAAAAAAAATTCTTTCCTTAGTAAAAGTTCTGCTGTTCTTTTGGTCTGAGACCTTCTGCTGCTTCCAGCCTTTGAAAATTACACAACGAGCTGAAGACTACTTCGCATTGTGCCACTTCTGTCCCTCTCCTCTTCCTCCTGCTGCAGAGGGCAGAGTCCTCCTGTTCCACAGAAAACAGCTGCACTTTGGCTTGGATGTGCTGAGCACTGGGAACATCTCAGTCCACAATATCTCTGCGAAGCCTTAAGTTCAGCAAGGCCRTCACGGTAGCCCTAGGAGCACCTAGGAGCCCTAAGATCAGTGGGAAAAAGCCAGAAAAGAAAAGTTGTCTTGGGAACAGCCTGCTGGATAGATGAACCTTCCATCACAACCCATAGTGTCTTACACTACCCTCAAATATCTGTCTCTTCTGCTCTCCCCAAAGTCAAAGCAGATGCAGAGAAACTTAAGTAACTGCAACAGCACGTGAAAACTGCTATTTTATTCTCTTTGCAGCTTCCTGCTTTGCATTAGGTGCAGCACAAGCACCCTTTGAGGGCTGATAAGCTATATCCGTCAGTTGCTTTTTCTGTGATGAAAAATAGCTAATGAGCTTGCACCTGGGGGCTGATGAATGGGAGATTGAAAATCCTRGGCTTGTTACCATTTGTTATCAGCCGATAAGGACAAATTGAGTCATGAGCAGCAGCCCTGGTGAGACTGCCAGATGGGAGAAGGTGGTGTAATCCCAGCCTGTGGTCAGCAGACTGGTGGCTTTCAATGTGTCATGGTGAACAGCTTTAGGTCCTCATGCTGGTGCAGTTCTTGTCATGCCATGGTGCAAGGGTGGCCGTTGCTGAGCACCAGGACCCCGGAACCTGTTCTTGCCCTCCTGAGGAAGGAGCTTTCATAAATATTTCCCTTCTCCCTCCCCATGTGRCGCCAGGGCAAGAGCCCTTGAAATGCTTTTGACTGCCCCGTTCCCAGCATAGTGCTGGCATTGTTGCCTTCCTATCTGCCTGGGCCACGGGCGTAGGCTCGGACAAGTCTGGAGGCAATGTTACATTCCCAGCAGGATGAGATTTGTGCCATCTTATTAGAAAACTATCCTGATATTCAAACGCCTGGTCTGCTTGGCACGGGTCTGGATCTGGGTAGCTGCATGGCACTTTCTGCTTTCACTGCCCAATGGAAGGGAAAAAAAGCATTCCCGGCTATTCCAGTTATAAAATAATTGATGCCTTTTCAAACCCATCAGCTCAGCGACAACATAAGTGATAGTGTGAGGCTTATGTCACAGAGTAGTGCTGTAAGTGAGGCCACATCTCATGGGATTTGTCTTCCACAGGAAATCCAGGTGTTTCTAGAATTCAGTTTAGGTGCAGCAGAATGATGGAGTCTGAAATGGGCAAAATCTTAAAAACAAAGTTAAGGGGAGAAAGTTTCTATTGCACACAGAAACAGAAAGAGGAAGCTTCAATGGATCCAGAAAGAAGTACATGTTTTTTAGCCTGGAGTATTGGAGCTGTTGTAATTGTGAATCTGAAATGCTCTTACAATGTTAAATATTGCCTGTCACATCAAAAATGAATCAGAATGTTGGTATCTTAAATTATGCTTTTGTAGTCAATACAAGGAGCTTTTGCTTTGTTTTGCAGCAATGTTCCAGGCAGTGAGGGCCCTCATGATTGTGGGGATTGTCCTGGGTATTCTCGGTCTCTTTGTATGCATTTTTGCCCTAAAATGCATCCGTATTGGTAGCATGGAGGACTCTGCAAAAGCCAACATGACTCTGACCTCCGGCATCATGTTTATTGTCGCTGGTAAGTGCATGGCATCTCTTGTGTGCAGTGGAGAAGAGGAACTGAAGGCTGGGCAAACTTACTGGCTGGGCAAACAAAGTTACTGGCTCTTACCTTAAAGAGATCATAAGCTCCAGGAATCACATGAATCTCTGAGAATTTCTTCTTTTGTTTGTTAAAAGTAACCAGAAGTTTGTAGTCTTTCTTTCTGGAGGGGGAAAAATAAAGAAGCCTGAAAAAATGATTGCAGTTAAAAAAGAAAATAGATTTTTATGTGTGTTATTATTAAGAATCATAAGGTTATTTATATAAAATCATTGTTTTATAAAGAATTTTAGAATTTGTGTGTAATTATTTTATTAAGACTGTCAGAGTTTTGATAGTGTAGTTTATAATTATTTGGTACTTTGGGTTATCAGGGAGGGCACAYGATACCCAGCATCACCCAGCTACCTCTAAGCTGCAGACAGCTAAGAACATCACTTACAGAATTTTGCACAATTTACTTTGGATAAATAATCATATTCCTATGTAGGCAAGGAGATTGTCCCTATTTAAAATCCTTATGTTTGAGCAGCACTTACTGATGTCGGGATATCATACAAAAAACACAAAATTCAAAGATGCAAGCTGGATGAAGGACAAAATAGTCTGGAGAAGTCAACTGTTAGAATTTTTTTCACCAACTGAAGGACTCTACTTGCTAAATTCATTTTCTGTGACAAAATATACCACTAGAAGCAATTTTGGCCATATTTTCCAGAGCTGTAAGATGCATCCCCAAGGTCCAAGGTAGGTGCTGGTGGGTCTTACTGCCCTTCTCTCCAATTGCAGGTCTGTGTGCCATCACTGGAGTGTCTGTGTTTGCCAACATGCTGGTCACAAACTTCTGGATGTCCACGGCCAACATGTATCAGGGAATGCAGAACATCCAGACAAGGTGGGTTGCTCCTTCGGTTCACGGTGGTCCACGGTCTTCCTTGGGCCAGAACAGGCTGTGAGAGAGGCTGGTGAAGGGAAAACAGACTTTGGGTGGAGATGAGTTTGGATCTGGGACTTGAGAGGCTTATAGAGTCCTTTCCTTATCTCCACTGGAAATAAGACAACTTTTCCAGTAAAATTGACTGGGATTTCTGTTCACGGAGTCAAAGCAATGAAATAGAGAACAGACCTTGGTCTAAGACAAATCTAGAAGCCCTTTAAAGCTCCAAGAGGGCCAATTTCCATGGATTTCAGTAGAAACTTCCCGTAAGCTTATCGCAGCCCTAACCAGGCACATGTCTCCATTTTGCAGGTACACTTTTGGCTCAGCCTTGTTCGTCGGCTGGGTCGCAGGTGGCCTGGCGCTCATTGGGGGCATTATGATGTGCCTTGCTTGCCGAGGACTCATTCCAGAAGAATCCCAGTAAGTCCATCTGTGCTTGACACCAAAAAGTGTTACATAAAGTCCTGGGCATCAGGAGTACGGATAGCATGCAGCCAGCACATCATAGCACTGGTCCATGCACAACACTTCAGTTGCAAAAGTTGCCTTGATGTCTGTGTAGTTGATGCCATGTTTTTTTTCCCTTGCAGTTACAAGGCTGTGTCCTACAATGCATCGGGACGGAACATCTCCTACCGAACAGCGCCCTACAAGGTTGGGTCTGGTTATGAGCCTGAGGTCAAGACTAGAAAAGGCCCAGGATATGAAGAAGCCCCTCGAAGTGAGGATGGGAGRCGCTCTTACCCTTCCAAATATGACTATGTTTAGGAGTCTTTCCGGGCTAATGATGAGCTATCTTTTATAGAACGTTTTTCAGTACTGAAACAAAAAGTATATGTACAAGTAGCCTGTAAAAAGGATTGTGTTTTCCGCTGCGTTTCGCTTACTTCGAAGTAATGCTCTAACTGGTTGTGAACACTGCTTTTATTTGACTGCTCCCTTAWATGCCCAGCCTCAGGAAGCCTATAATAAAAGGCATGGCTTTTGGTGCTCTTAGAGTAGAATATTTTACTTGTATTTCAAATATGCTTTCTGCCTTGTGCCATTTTCCAGTTCTTCTAATAAGTCTGAATTTCCATATAGGACCAGTCCAGGTGGAGCAAGTAGTTACTTGGAGATACATCGCACTGACTCAGATGTCTGTGACTAAAAACTAGAGGGAGATATTTAAAAAAAAAAAATAGGGAGAGAGAATTTAAACCAAAATTATTTTAAACCAAAATTGCCATGCTGCCTTATTAAAACTGGCAAATGCTTCTGCAGCACAACAGGCAACAACTGAAGACCAGCATTTAAAAGCAATGTGCCTCATTCCCTTTCAAATGATCATGTAGTTTCATCCTCCGTTTTCTCAGGATTCAGAGAGGTGAGTAGTCTCTCTGACGTGTTCCTCAGTAAAAGCAACGCTTTGCCAAAATGGTAGTGTATATTTGCTCTTGTTTTACCACCCGATCTCATTGCAGCAGGTTGAAAAGTCAAAGTAATCATTTAGTTGCCTCCTGTATTATTTTGTTGTGTATTTTAGGTAAATTCAGGTGTCCCCTCCTGAGTGAGGCCAAGACACGCAGATCCTGCAGTCGTGGCATTTTCCTCCCCAGCTGCTGTCTCTGTGCAGATAGTTCTTTGTTTTGCTAGTTGCTCTGTGACGCTCATCTGCTGCGATATTTAATCTATTTTATGTTACTTAGACACTTGTAACCCGTGATACCAAGGTGTATTTATTTCTTCTAATCTCATCAGGAAATATATATAATCCATTGTTATTCTTATGCCTGATATTTGCTGTAATAGAAGCAAACCTCTGCATGCTACTGGTGTTCCTGCAGATGTCATCTTTAATGAAGCCAAAAGAATTTCTCATTTAAAATTAATTAGAGTTACATTTGGAGTAGAAATCCCTGGGAACATTAGTTTTCTTGTGTTAATTCTCTCCCAAATTATGCAAATATTAACTCCTTAATAGGGCACTGCCTCTTCTGACCAATCCTCCTGAGAGGACATGAATTTGAAGGTGGCAAGGGCAGAAGAGCTATGCACTATGTTAACTGGTCCTTCCACCTAGTTTCAAGGCAGATCCTAAAGAAGATCTCAAAAATGCCTGTTAGCAGCATGCTCGATATCAAGGAATGAGATGTAGAAAGAAAAAAACTCTTCCAAAACCTCCAAAGTAGTCGTTTTGATAGATGTCCACAAAGCRTTTTGCTCCCTTGTAGGAATAGGAAGTTCTCTGTCAGAGTTAACCAGCAAACTTCTTTTGGAGAAACACTGATTTTCTCTTGGGTGGATTCACATTCTGGAGAGATCATCTCGTGTGACTTGTACAAAATGTAGGGGCAGCCCATTGTGCTCAGCAGCAGTGCGCGTGCACCAAAGTGTCCACACCAGCTCTCAGTAAAGACACAGCATTTCTTCCCTATATTGGATTTACTCTATTTTGGTTTCATTGTTTGTCTGTTTGGACTTTTTTTTGTACTTGAATATTAAAAAMGAAAAAGTCTTTAAGACTCCAAATCACTGTTTCTGTTTGTTGTCTGGAAGGTCTTAACACAGCCCATCACCTAGACAGTAAAATATGCTATCTAAGCAATGTCATCTATTAGCAGGAAGCTCTTCGGCTGTGTAAGAACATGGAGAACCTCCAGTACAAACCATGAGAGGTTTCTGCTGCTMTGGTTGCTGCAGATGTGCTTGGAGTGAGAACCAAAAGCATATACTGCTTCTTCCAGCTGGAAAAATCAAGCGATCATCACTCTATATGCAGGGAATCACAAACTCCAAATAATTAGTTTGATCCTTTGGTCTGTTGATTACTGGTTCAACTCCTAGAAACCAGCAAGCTCTCACTTTTTCTACTATTTGTAACATACCAAAAGTATTGCAAAGTATCAGAAGAGTACTTAAATAAGCAACAGGAGATGCTTATTTAACCCCCAACTCACAGAGGCAATGAAATCATAGGTCCTTGTTCTGAAAACATTGAGCTTCTATTGAAACACAAGCAAGCAAACATTTTCCCTGAGCCACTAGTTGATTCAACATCTGCTTGACTTTCAARGTAGTTATTAAATATTACCTCATTGTTCTTAGGAGAGAAAAAAAAAAATGCTGGTATGCTCTCGCTCCTGCCAGCTTCCACTGGAAAGGGGCTGAAAAGCATGGGAATGTTTAATTTAGATAGGCATAAGTGGCAGCCATGTAGAGGAACACAGGATAACAAGTAATATAGAAAGCTAGAAAAAAATGACATGCAAGTGTTAACTTGGGGACACAYACACAGAATCACAGGGGAATGACTTTGGAAGCAGCATTTTATTTCTATGCAACACAAAAGCTCCACCAAAGTCACTGGAGCAGCTATCTGCTGGTTTCGTTTAGGTATAAGTGAGCAGACAGATTTAACAAGAGCGCAGGCAGGAATGTTACCGAGAATGGCAGAGGGCTGAAACAGAGTTGTAGCCAGGAATTTCTGTCCTGGATAGATTTCTAATCTTCCAACACCAGTTTTCATCTCCTTACCTTGGTCAAAAACTTGCAGCATCAAGAATTTGAACGCAGAGAACTTTACCTAAAAAAAAAAATCAAATTCTGAAGAAGAAAATCATTTACTTATGAGTCGGTTTGTTGTGTAACAGCACCCASTATTACAGTTGCACTCCTCTTTTTCCTGCTCTGGACATGGTATGTACCACCCTGAGCAGTGAACGTGGTGCATCATAGGAAGCGAAGTTCTGCAGAGAACATCCACATAGGGAGAATGAGCGTTCCCAGTCCCAGGGCTGCAATTCCCAGGYCTGCTTCAAAAGCACTTGTTTTTCCCTATCTTTAGACACCAAGTGAAACAACAGTTATGGCAGGATACATCGAGACCCAGTCACAGGTAGGGTGGAGGGTTTTCCAGAGGACTCAAGTGGAGTAACAYGGGTGAATAGTAGCAAACAAGAGCAGAGGCTGTGAGCTAGCAAGGCCATCTGCAGAGAATTTCAAAGTATTCCCCAGGCTTGACTGTTGATTTGCATCATGATGAAGGGGCCTGTCACCACAAGACTTCAGGCTCTGAAACCTCCTTTATTAGTGAAGGAGAGAAGACCATCCACCCACTACTTTGCCCCTACAGGCATTGAGCTGGTGGGTAAAAGATCCATTTGATAGCTCTGGGGGGGCCAAGAGAGAGAAGTCAAGGGTATCTTGTTCGGAAGTCCATGTGAGCACATGTGTGCACCCTCTGAAAGGGTTTTGTTTCTATAAATTTGAGCATTCAGAGAAAAATTATATACTGTTTCAGAGTAGCTAATTAAATATAGCCCTGTCTACTAAAGCACACTGTGAAAAGCCTGAGTGAATTATCTCCCAGCAGAGCTCTATATAGTTTCTTTCTGAGCTTCCAGAACATTTATAACTACGCGGGAGCAGAGCAGATTTGCATGGACTTTGACCAAGAGAAGCAAAGACCCGTATCTGAAGCTACAAATTGGACTATGAGATAAGAACTCTCCTGAAATCTATATGCAATTAAAAGCCCAATCTTCCTTCCTACAGTGACAAGGTTATTGCTTTTATATAGCTGAACAGAGATGAATGAGTCTATGGATTAATAGCACTAAGATTTATGACACTCTGCTTGCCCCAAATATTATGGGAGAATAGCTTTCTGGGTGAAATATTCCAGCTGAATAAATCTGATAGAATTTTTCTTTGCATTTAATTTTCAGCTGTGTATTATTCAGGAGCATTGTGTTCCATTCAGAGGGCATTAGTGCTGTGGTTTGATTATCTGCTAATTGTCCTACATATATTCACACTTTACAAAAGTATTATCAATTGATCTAATCCTACAAAGATGAATGTCATCGAGAAAAAAAAYGCAAAAATGCAAAATACACATTCTTTTGAACTGCTTTAGACTCCAGTGACATTACACTCCTGTCAAAGGTTTGGCCCATCAGTCTCAACGGAGCTGTCCTGCTTTGTCCTCCATGGAGAATGGGTCTTTGCCCAGGTAAAGGCATATGTACTTACAGCACATATCCAGACCCTCATTTGCTGAATCATGCCATGATGCTGCATTTGTAACTTCCATCATTTAATGAAACTACAGCTTTTAGTCCTTAAGGAAAAGTCTCTAGGCATTAAGGAATATGGAGGAGTCAGTCCAAGTGCCAACATCTTGGAGAGCTTTGGGTTCTGTTTGACAATTCAAGGAGGCATCTGGGTTTTGAGCATGCAACGTACCTAGACCACCGTTGCTCGTGGTAGTTCTGCCTTCTTGCTGCTAACAAAGTCCTATCGCCTCGTGTTGTTGCAGCATCTCATCTTTACAGAGAGAGGCAAATTCATCTTGTTCTCAGCTTTTGTTCGACTCCTTTCCCCCAGGAGAAGATGAATTTGTTTTCTTAATACTGTTACAAATAAATCTTTGTGCAAAGGAATTATCAGGACACCTGTCTGTCTATTTAAACTCGACTCCATGTGAGAGCTCCTCCCCGCTTGCTCTTCCGACTGGCTCTTCTACTGTGCACTTTGGCTCAATGTTGTTTTGTTTGGCTTTGTTTTTAATTCCCTCGGCTGTGATAATCTACCTACCAGGGGAGCTTCCCTGCTGTTTGCTGCYGCTCTGTCATCATGAAGCACTCCAAGAGTGACTGGCAATGCTAATGGGATGGCGATGGGCACTCTGTTGTGTAATCCAGGTTTGCATAATCAAAAAAAAAAAGAGAAAAAAAATGGACAACACCCTAAGAAAGGGCTGCAAAAGGGATTTCTTTTCTGCA